ATAGAGAAAGAGGGAGGGGGGCGGGCTACTAGAGAAAGAGAGAGAGAGAGAGAGAGAGAGAGAGAGAGAGAGAGACTAAATGGCAAAATTGAAATATGGGTCAAATTGTGGCCGCGATCTATTTTACAGTTGAAATTATTGTTTTAAATTTATTTAGCGTTTTTCCTGGAAAGATCACAACAAAATCTACGAGCACTTCAATTTTCAGGTTTTTTCACGCATTCTTTTGAGCGTGAAAGCTCACTGAATTTGGAGTACTTTTTTAGTTGACCCAGGCATAGCTGAGTGCCAAAAATGGAAAATGTGCCGAATCAGCGCGACAATTATTTCGCAGTGTAAATGATTTTTTGTAGATGTTTTATTATTATTTCTGGAAAGAACACGACCTCATCTATGGATTCTCAAAATTTCAGATTTTTGTGCATGTTCGTCCGAGCACAGAAAATCGGCAAAGTTACCTCTTGCAAAACGGCTATTTCGTTGTGCCTGACCTCCCTGTTTTGAGAAGACGGGGCGCAATGCGTGGCCCTTAGGGCCCTTTTGGTGCTCACATGCCCTTACTTCTTTTTGGGGTCCACTTCCACCCGAGGACCGGTCCTTCCATTTTTCAAAAGTCCCGGATCTCCCACAGTCGCTCTTTGTGTTGTCCTTGTCGTCGTCGATTTCTAACACGCCTTCAATCTGGAGCTACTTTCATAATATCTTATGATTTAGTTCGTTGATTGATTTCGTCACCCTTGTTTCCATATATGTTCATTCTGTGTTCGCGTTGTCTGATGTGATTTCAAGTTTTAGAGATTGGTGGTAGCATGTTTGAAAAGATTTCAGACGTTCCAACTCTTTCGTTTGATCTTCCTTACTTGCTATTATGATCATCATTACATTGTCCACAAAACTCATACCGTGGATAAGTTTCTCATCAATTCCAGTCTACGCACACCATCTGTACTCGTCGAACGCGCATACCATGTTGGCAATGGGTGGGCTAGAGCCCTTCCCCATTGGTATCCCCATTACTTGGCATAATAATGTTATTTGTACTTTGAAGTTTGAAGTATGCGTGTTTGATGTCATAATACAACAGATCCATTAGGCACTCAACTTTTAATGTTCTCCATCCGTAGGTTCCGTTTGCTTTTTCAAAGTTTATGTACTTTTCTCTCATCTTGTAACACAAGTGGGTTTTTCGTTTTTCTTTCGCCATTTTCATCATCCATTGCATGACGTTTAAGATATGTGTGTGATCGAGATTCGAAAACATATCTTTGACATCGTATGTGGAGCAGATTATCGTAGTCATATCCCCATAAGTTTCTTTTGTTACTTGATTGCATTTCTTCAGTCTAGATAGTAGTTGGCTCGTTCCTTTTAGTGAGAAACCAACTTTCAATGCTTGAGACATGAAGTTGATAGCTCTTGATAGTACCTTCGATGCTTTCCGAGATGACTCCTTATATGTCGATACAATTGGTCGGCGTCTGGTGACGTCCTTGTTTTTTTGAATTGTATACGCATTTCCGTATGATCCCTGTTCATCTCATGCTGCGATTTTCTTCAGCCCACATCCATGATACGTATTTTTGGTCAATTGAGTGATCTCAGATTCCGTTTGTTGTATAATTTCGTAGTGATTCGATTCCGGAAAGAATTTTCGAGATTTATCGTACCAGATTAGGCCTTCCCCTCCCTCTCTCTCTATTTTTTTTTCTCTCTCACACTCATAACAATAAATGAAACAAAACTCTCTCTCTCTCTCTCTCTCTCTCTCTTGTGTTCGCTCTTAGTCTCATTGATTTGGATACCTTAGGGTTGCGTTCCCTGCGCCCACGCGGTAGACAATACAAGCCGCGCATTCCCAGCCCTTACGCTGCGGTATAGTGGGCTTCCGCGTCTGTGTCAAGGTGTAGCATTTTTGGCGGCGGGCGTTCCCAGCCCTTAGGCTGCGGTATAGTGGGCTTCCGCGTYTGTGTTYGCAGCCCTTAGGCTGCGGTAATAGAACATTTACAAAAAATCATTTAGACTGCGAAATAATCGTCGCGCCAATTCAACACATTTTTCATTTTTGCCACTCGGCCATGCTAAGGCGAGCTAAAAAAGTACTCCAAATTCAGTGGGTTTTCACGCTCATAAGAATGCGTGAAAAAACCTGAAAATTCGAGTACTCGTAGATTTTGTTTTGATTTTTCCAGGAAAAACGTTACATAATTAAAAAAAATCATTCCAACTGCGGTCTACTGGGTTCGACGTCTGTGTCAAGGTGTCGCATTTTTGGCGGCGGGCGACCAGGACCCAAAGTGGGTTCTTAGGGGGCAAAAAAAAATGGGCAACCGGTCCTTGCCAAAATTGCGGACTACCTACAGCTAGCTCTGGTAGAACCGGAACTTTTGGAAAAACGAAGGACCGGTCCTCGGGTGGAATTGGACCCCATAAAGAAGTAGGGATGGGGCAAGGCTCCTCAGGCCCAGGCGTTGAGGCCCGTCTTCTCAAAATAGGGATGCCAGGTGCAACGAAACAGGCGTTTTGCAAGAGGCACCTTTGGCGATTTTCTGTGCTCGGAGGAACCCGCAGAAAAATCTGAAATTTTGAGAATTCATATATGAGGTCGTGTTCTTTCTAGGAGAAATATTAGAACATTTAAAAAAAAAAAAATTAACCGAGAAATAATTGTTGCGCCGATTCTTTCATTTTTGCCACTCAACCATGTGTGGGCCAACTTAAAAAGTACTCTAAATTCAGTGAGTTTTCACTCTCAGAAGAATGCGTGAAAATACCTGAAATTGGAGTACGCATAGATTTTGTTGTGATCTTTTCAGGAAAACGCTAAATAAATTAAAAAAAATCATTCCAACTGCGAAATAGATCGCGGCCGCAATTTGCCATTCAGTCTCTCTCTCTCTCTCTCTCTCTCTGGTAGCCC